AAAAACAAAAAAACAAAAACAAACCATTTCAACAAACGCCCTGAAGTCGTCCATTTTGTTCCTAATATTCCTAGCACTAAAATACTAGCAAGTACGCCTTATTATTTAATCTACTCTATTCATCTTGAAATCTGACACACACTTTATTTATCATTATGTGCCATAAAGTTCATTTTTTCATACTCTTCGTTGCCATAGCCGTCCTATCACTTTGTTTGTACGTAATTTGCCAAACTCTCTCAGCACCACGTAAGTTTAAACCATCTTTAATGAATGTCTTTAGAACCTCCCCAAAATACTCTACGCTCTAACCCAGTTAGGTGGATCCCATCTTTAGCACATAATTCACCATACTCTGAAAAATATCCCATAGATTCAACCAGCTCATCCGTTGCTCTACGAATATCCCTGATGATCTTTCATTTAAATTTTGGATTCTGCTAAGTAATCCATTCCCGCATCTATCCTAAGGGAGCAATCCTAAAAGGACCACATGTTTATTTCTCTCTTTAAACTACTGAAGGAGTCCTTTATACATTTTAGCAGCTCTTCTGTTTCACAATTTTCAGTACTCATTCGTATGTGCACAACATAAAAAGAATGTTTTTGGTACCAAGAATTAAACTGTCCTCTACGTTTACCCCCTTTCAAGGAAATTCCAGTCCTAGTGTTTTTATGCTCTCTTTTAGACATAGAAATAACTTTATTAGTACGCTTAACGAGAATCCTTCACGATATAAATCTCTTGATCATCTCGATTCTTATTGAAGGCTTCCAAGGGTTCATATCTATTAAGGACTGATACACAAATGCTAACTGAATTTGTCTCTGTATCCTTAATTGTTTTACTACTGTGCAATCTTGCAAACCCAGCATTCACATCTTCCCCCTTCCTCATATCAGTCTTTACCCTAACTATCCATTTCCTGTCCTGCTTCCATCATTTCTACTTCTAATCTCCTATTTTCTTCCGCTAGTAGCACAAATCTATATCTAACTTATCCTTAAGTAAATATGCTTCACAAGTGTAGTGTACTATATCCTTCAGAACCTCCTGAAAGTCGTAATCAGGTCCACAATTTAAATTATAACCCAATTCTGGTACCCATCGAACCCTATAAATTCAAGTCCATCTATCTAGAAGTATGGTTTTTAGAGGAGTGTTATGGTTAAGTTTTGATAAATGAAGAGCAACACTAAGCTAAAAAATTAATCAAAGAGGCTAAATTTTTTATAACGTGATAAAGAAAACAATACGACGTTTCTAACCTAATACAAGCTAGAGCATCCAAAATAAATGTTATATTAGGCAAAGTTCTAACAAAGTTCACAGAATTTGGCATTGTATTATTTTGATGATTGTAGTCAGACATTAACTTCTGAATTTCAAATTTCTGCTATTTGTCGTTCAAGCATTTCCATATATTCTTGGTAATCTTTCGTCGTCTTTTCTTCTTCAGCTTTGGCCAACTCTTCGAAGACGTTGAACGCAATACCGAGCGCCGTCACCTGAAATGTATCGTTAACAATTCTTAATAACTTATGACTGAAAACAAGAAGAATATGTAATAATATGTCAGCTACAGTTAATCTGCCACGCTCGGTCCCAAAGAGGCCTTTCGTCCAATACGAAGGTCCATCAGTCCGGCTGTGATACCACAAACATACTGTAGTAGTATCGAACCAAGAATGCTACGCACTATGATTCTGTATTATAGCTTTCTTGTATATTGGTGTAGTTCATTCAATATGTTTATAATAGGTATGTTATATACAAGGTTAATTTTAATCAGGTGTTTGAATTGTGAATTCATATATTACTTTTGTGAATTCACATACTCAAAGTAAATAAATATTTAGGAGTAGAGTTTCTATAAATACAGATCATTTTATATATATTGAATTAAAGTTGCACATTCGATAATACTTAAAATAATCAAGTCTACGTTGAATCTGTTGAAGGAAAACTTTGTTTCAAACTTTTAATATGGTTATAAATTTGGAATACAACTTCGATAATGAACTGTTTGTTGGATTATTTATGAAAACAGATGGAGTAATACATAAGGCACTCAAACATAATTCAAGAAATTCATATCCAAGACGTACCTGGAATACGATAAGAAGAGTTCCAATCCATCCTAACAAATTTGATTTGTCTGTTAGATACCCGCTGAGTTCCGCACCACAACCCTGAGGATAGAAATCCTTGAAAAATCAGTAAAATATACTTGAAGTACTGACATAGAGTACCTAATGCTATGCTATATACCTCAGGGACAGAAAACATACTCTCATGCTACAAGTTACTGACATAGAGTACGTAATTGTCATATTATACAGAACATGGACAGAAAACATACTATCATGCTACAAGTTACTGACATAAAGTACGTACTGTCATATTATACAGAATATACTATAATGCTGCAGGTTACTGACATAAAGTACTTACTACTATGTTACACAGTACAGAAACATACTGCGATGCTACAAGTTACTGACATAGAGTACGTACTGTCATGTTATACAGTACAGGAACAGAAACATACTGTAGAGCTATTGGTTACTGACACAGAGTATGTACTGCCATATTATACAGTAAATGGACAGAAACATAGTGTCATGTTGTTGGATACTGACATAAAGTATAATACCTACTACCACGTTATAAAGTACCTAATGCCACATTATATAGTACAAGAATAGAACCTAAACCGTTTGAAGTCACTTGAACAATCGTAATACAAACAAAAAATAAAAATGAAAAATGATGGTAGATTAAGCTTAAAATCCAAAAATTAATAATAAAGTAACTCCTAATAATTAATAACATTAATATTCATATCAGTGGATGACTTTTAGATTGGATCGCGTGCCCTTCTGTTTTCTAGAAAAAAGCATAGTTGATTGTTTTCACTGCAGCATAGGATCCCTCCAAGTATATATATAACTTTGTAGATAGTCCCCTTTAGCAGCGTGTATTGTACAAGTATGTCATGTCACCACAATGAAATCCAGTGTTAGAAGCATTTACATCTTAGCAGCTTTTCATCTCATCAATAGATGAATTCAAATTCGATGACGAGGAACCCACTTGAGACTAATAATGGTTGGAGACGGCTTGAATGGGTAATGAAGAAAAACTTTAATGATGACAAAACCTGATGATGACAAAATTTTGTCGAAACGTTGTACATTTGCTGTTATGTTAAACTTATATTAAAGTTTTTCTTCATTACCCATTCAAGCCGTCTTCAACCATCATCAATAGATGGATGATTGAACTATTTCTTAGGTAAACTTATGCATGGCATTCTTGTTGGCATAATGAATCCCAGTGTATCCAGTACATCTTTGTCTTTGGGCTATATTGAATTAGTGTTTGCCACAGGTGTTGTTTTGCACCATTCTTGATTTATTGAATAATTAGTTTCAAACTTGTATATTTTGCTTGAGAATCTTTCCTTTGTTTTGGTTTCTGCTATTTTGCGCTTTAGGTTGGTTGTCCTTATTACCTCTCGGTTCCTTCTTTTTACAGTATTTACATTCTACAGTATTACAGTGTCTTCGAGATAATGCATCATCATTTCCATGGATCTCTCCGATGAAACAGACATGTTCGATCTGTTGGACTAGATACAGCTAAGGATCAGGGAGACTGAATTCTATTTAACCCTGTAACAGCAAGGAATTAAAGTTGTATACTCAAATACGCCCAACATCTAAGGATGTTGAATGAAAGTTAAAGAGAACATCTTTAGTAGTAGGGAAAATGGATAGTTCGATTCACAGAGAAACTAAATAAATCTCTAAAATCCCCTTCTTTCACTCTTCTGATCATTATACTGTTATTTTTGTTCTCTATGACTAAAGGTGGAATCTATTTTCTATCCAATCCAATCCAATTCTATTAAACAAATCACATTGTTGGTTTATTATTTAAGGCATCTGTAAAATCAGACATATATATGGAAGAGTTATGTCATTTCCGTACAAATGTTTCAAACCGAACATCTTATCCTACGTATCTAGTTGTTCGAGTTTACAGTTTAATTCCTAGAATATGTTTATCATTTATTCTCTTCTATCTAGAAACTTTCTCGAAACTTTACAGCTACATCTGAACTTCTTCCTGTGTTTTTATATCTTTTCTTGTTATACAACGATGTTTATACATCCTTGATTCCTTTTCTCAACACATATTCTAGCTTTGATCCGATATGTTGAGTATGCTGTATTCAAATGGTTTTTGAGCCTCACTTCGTAATTACAATCCATGTTGCCACTTATGTTCATGCTCATTCTGAAGATCATACACATTGACAATAACTTTACAGCGTAGTTTCTATTGCAAAAGGCTATGTCGTAAGGTAGGTGTCCTCAATGCTTAAACGTGAATTTACAGTGCTTAGTAAACCACTTAAATTCACGGTTATATTACATTTAAACTTGAAAAAAATTCACAATTAGTTCTGCTTCCCCACGTAAAAATATATTTATTTATAGTCATCACTTAATCTATATTTTAATTTAAACTTCTCCGTCACTGTTAACTCGCCATTTCTGAAGATGAAGTTATCTAATGAGTTTAGTGCCATGCAAATTGTTTATCATTGTAAACGTTGTGATGTTTTTCTTTATTTATATTCAGACATATAAACGTTAACCTAATATTGTTTCATATAACATATAAAATAACTATATAACGTTAGTTATTCATGTTTATCAAATAATAATAATCACTTGTATAAAATCCTGATAAATGATGTGCAACCATAAAAGTCTTACTTTTACTTGCGTTTATTTTATAACAAATTATATTTCTCACAAAACAATTTCTCGGCATGTGTTCAAATTACTTAAAAGTTCATTTCTTAAAGTTATTTCATTTCCCATCACATTTTACGTTTATCCAATTTGTCTTGTTTAGTTTCATCTTAGATTTTTTGCCATATCACCTATACGTATTTCACTATCGATTTAAATTATTATTAATACTTCTCTTATGTTACTTGCTCCTTATTTTTACTAGGGCTGATTTAGTGTTTTAACTAGGTTAGTCCAATTTTTCACCAAACTTCAGTTTCGATTCTCGAGTAAGTCGTTTACTTCGACGATTTCTATAGTAGACGGTCGCACTGAATATTGTTCTAATCTTTCTTTCTTAGGTATTCGTCTCATGCGAAGCTTCTTGCATTTAACATACTCATGGTGCGATGTATATGTTAACACCGTACCGATAATCACAAAAAGATTTGCAGGTACAAATACTCATTTTCTCGAACAATAATTCCTTGTGGACGATTGTCCAGTTGCTACTTCATTAACATAATACTTTAACTTGTTAATAGCTAACTCTACTTGTGTTGTTGCATAAAATATATTGTCTTCCATCCTTGGATTAATTAACTTTAGGTTTTTATCTGTCAGTACTGTATTCAATAAAATCCTATCTTCCCCTGTTAACAATCCTTTAAAGGAAGGTATTTTAATTTTGAATGAACAGTACGTACACACAATTCTACTTCTAAGGCTTTAAATAAAGATTAATGCCTTCAGCATGAACTGAACGGTTTTGCATTAAGGTTATACACAAGTTGAGTATGCTGTATTAAAATGGTTTTTGAGCCTCACTTCGTAATTACAATCCATGTTGCCACTTATGTTCATGCTCTACCTGACGATCATACACATTGACAATAACTTTACAGCGTAGTTTCTATTGCAAAAGGCTATGTCGTAAGGTAGGTGTGTCCAAAGTTCACCACCCATCCCTGCAGGATTTCCATAAACTAACTTGTATACATAGATGATGGTTTCCCAGTACTCGTTTCAACAGTCCGACCACAAAGAAGCCCCTAGGCGCTGCATCCTGCAACCTTAACAATATTTCTTTGTCTGAAATAGCATGCATACCCATTTCATTCTCCAGCTACGGTATGCGATGGTTTAACATATATGTTGTGTAGACAAGTGTTGTGTTACTTTTCCAGATGAAAAGCTTCCTTGGTTATGCTGTGTAATTTTACCTGGCAAAAGTGGAGGGCTTTTGTCACTGAATCTTGTGTTCATGGATTCGTACTTGTTGCAAGATGCCACGCTTTCCTTACCATAGCTGAAGTACAACTTATTGTAGGTTTCTTTCTTGATGGTCCTATTTTCCGTAATTGATCCCTACTCCTTTTTCTTCAATGCCATTATGTCCAGAAATTCTAAATTCCTGATTTATACACGTCTTTATGAACTGTGTGTATGGATATCTTGAATTGAAAATAAATCACATACCCCTCCCTTAAAGCGAGCAGTATTAGTTGCACCACACTACCTACGTAATTCCAAACAATGTCAAATTGTAGTTCTGATACATATCGTTCCATCGCGACATTATATCGGCTATGGCTGTCATATGACTTGCCGATTTGCATATTAAAAACCGTTTTAATATAGCGTACTCAACCCTCTATATAATCCAAATTGTAACACAACAAATTGCCACTCCATTTTATGCAGTCAAGGCTGTTTTGTCTAGATTTGCTTCATCGACTTTGCACTTACCAGTATCCTTTCCTCAGATCCAATGTTGAAAACCATTTTGCCCTGGATGAAGCATCCAAAGTAGAGTCAATCCTTGGCAGTGGGTAGGCGTTATTTGTTGTGACTTAAGTTACCTACTGGATCTTGTGAATCCCTCTCCACGTTTCTTAAGTACAATAGATAATACTCAAGAATAGCACTTGGTTCCATTGCTTCTTGTTCTTTCATGGCTTTTACTTCTTTGAGAAATTCAGTCTTTTTTGCGACTGAGAGACATCTGGATAACTGGACTACATCTCCAGTATCAATCATATGTGATATTTTATTTGTCCGGCCTAAGTCTTGATACCCACTGGAGATGAAATCTTGGCATTTTATGAACAAGTGAAGTAATCTGTGGGGTTTATCTGTTGCAAGATAAAACTAATTTTCATATCGTCATTCACTGTGACATCTATGAGTTGGTCATATGCAAATTTCTTCATCAGTTCACATGGATCAGCCGAATAAAATAACTGAGCATGTCTTCAGCAAATTCAACCAAAGACTTGTCTTTCCTCTCTACTGTGGTCCTAAACGTTGCTTAGGAAACTTCCCTGTGCTTTGATACTTCAAATATGTTTGAGGATGCATCCACAAATGCTCTGATAGTTGTTATCTCTCTTAGTTTGAAGTTTGCTTGATGTTATAAAATCTCGTCCTTTTCAACAGGAGCAAGATGAATAGCGTTGTTGTTCACTATTCCACCAATTCACTTTAAAAAGTATTCCAAACTATGCCTCGTATGATACAGATTCATTATATTCTTTTGGTTTCTTTTGTGTAATGTTGTAGAAGTCTGCTAAATTCTGTAACTTCATGAAGTTATGATATAGCTGGAGTAGCACAGGAAGGTACTTCAGTCATACATGCCACGGTAGTAGTTGTAAAAGGTGGTTAATGGTGTTAGGAGTTGGACATTTTGTGTACATGTTAAAACAGTTGTGTCTGGTTTGATCCTTGTATATGCCGATTCAGTGTCTAGATATTTTATTCTGGCATTCATGTCCTTCTCTAAATTTCTAATGCTTTCATTTATCTTATTATTACGTTTTTGTACTTTTTCGACCTCGTTGTTATACTTCATTTGTACATTTTCTATGGATTCCTCGACCTTTGATCAAATGAGTTTCTGTTCGTAATTCGTTTGTAAATTTCATTTTTCACTCTAATAATTTCTCTCTAAATTCCTGTTGGTGTGCTTATAACCTTTTCCAAGCTGTTGAGCACCTTTTAGGAACCGAGTGCATACTTCCAGATAAACTTTTAAATTTCAAGTAACAAATAGTAATTGTAACTTTACTCGAGCAATTGTTTATATTCACCTTTTTATGACCTCATAGAAGGTGATTGAAGAATTACTAATAAAACTGAGGCAAAGTTTAAATATCATTGAATAGAACACAATTTTTATTATTTACATCGAAATTGAGATAATTGGAATGAGAAGTTACATACTTGTTCGTTGAAAAGTGACAAGACTTCATTCGATGCAGAGAAGAACAACAGAATTTAATGGGAAGTTTAAAGGACTTAGCAACAAACCACACGTCTGAAAATATGTTTGTAGTTTGTTTCGACGTTCATTTCATATCTTAAAATGTTTTTGTGTTAAATTATATTTGTTTTAAAGCTACTAAAATTATCTTCTATGACTAGACATATGGTAAATCTTACTAGGTTTAGACCGTACAACAGGCAACGGAAAAAATATTTTGGTGACGCAAATCTTTATTTACAGAATATTATTAGCAAATACATTGTATTCAAATAACGTAGATAAGTCAAAGATCTTATTATTTATTAAATTGAAAATAAACTATCTTTATTAGAAATAAATTGATCTCAATCAAGAATATTGTTAGTTTAAATACATGTTGTCTAGCCTGACCTGACGCCATTGTGACATGTGAGGCCAGAGGTCACCAATATATATTTGTCAGTTTCACATTTTATTCTATTGTATTACGGGTTATAGGTAGAAGTGGTGACTCCTATAATTGGTAAAATAAAGGATAAAAACAAACAATTTAATGAATATCAATTGGAAATGAGGTAAATAATAGTTTTGGCCACCTTCACTTCCTTAGAGAATAATATTCAGTTAGTTACTTAGTCATTGTTCTTTGTAGACCATTTAGAAGGTGAGATAATGCTTTACACCTCTAATTCCCCTGATGACTGATGAAAAGAAAATTATTTAAAGCTCCAGGTTCAACTATGGTAAACAATAGCGTAACGTATTTTTGTACATACGTACATACGTTTGACTTGTTTTGAATATATATATATATATTATTTTAATACAAGTAGATTGTGTGCAGTTCATTTATTGTTAAAATTTATCACCAACAAATCACAGACACCTACTGTAAAGAATCCCGGCCTTACAAAACCCGACAAGAATCATACACTAGCTTAAATATTGTTTTTATATCTTTCAAATCCTTTTCCAAACAATCAAGGAAATTTCAGACGTCACGCGTTCATCACTTCGCATCAAAACTTCCTTCTAGCGAACATTACAAATGTCTAAGTTCAAATATTAAAAACAGCCTACCACAGTAGTGTCATGTCACATATTGCTGTCACAGAACACCTACTGACGTGATATACAATACAAATACAGAATTATGGTGCCATATTAAAGGTTACTCACAGAGTAGACGTCACCTACTGAGAGCCTAAATATTTCACAGAATGTAATATATTGTTGTGCTATAGAGTGTGAAATAGACCATCCTCTTGGCATGTTTCATGGTACAAAGACGTAATATAGCACACGTTACAGAATATTGTCACAGAGTACATAGTTACGTTTAAAAAGTCCAGACTTGAGTAAACAGCTTACAACAACTGTAGAGATTTGTTATAACGTTGAATAACTGGTGCAGTATACTGCTTTAGATTATTTTGTTTTGTTTGTTTGTTTGTTTGGAATTAAGCATAAAGTTACACAATGGGCTATCTGTGCTCTGCCCACCACTGGTATCGAAACCCGGTTTCTAGCGCTGTAAGTCTGCAGACATACCGCTGTGCCACTGGGGGGCCTTTATATTATTATAATAGTTTATAAAAAAAGTTCGTCGTGATTTAAAATAATAGCTTATTTATCTGTATAAGCAATTATTACAATTAATAACACATTTCTTCATGAACTATTAATTACGTTAATTGCTTATGTACAGAGTAACATTATGATATAACAGAAGTCCGTAAAGAGTTTGTTATCATGTATAGTTTAACATTTATAGAGAGAAAATAAGTGTTAAATTGAACAGTATTTGGACTGATAGACAAAGTATTTTATCTCACGAGTTTTTAGGTAGAATGTGTTCTTAAAACGAAAAAGAAAACAACAACAATAACATTACTAACATGTAACGTCATGTCTACTTTTTTATTTAACACTTAAAAACTGCACATGTACAAGATTAGGCAAAGCAACTTACCTTTTCATAATATCCCCCTCTTGTATTAGCTATACAAGAATATGGCACTGACAAGTTCTTCTGTATATAGTCTTCTGTGGAAACTGGTCCACAACACATGAACTAAAACAGCCAAAAAATTGGTATGTACTACTGAGCAAGCCGAACTTGGTTATTAGACACAGGTTCTTTATTTAAAAATTGTCGGTATGTTAGTTTCGAAAACAAATGGGGAAATATAAGAACAATGCATTTATTGCACTTTTTATATTTTAGGGCCAAGATAACTAATCATTCTGTGCATTTCACTAAGTTTTCCTCTCTCCATTTCATTATTTTTTTTACTATAAAATATAAAATGTATCATATAATCTTTAATTCCTATTTCCACATTATTTCTTTTCCTAGATCTCTTATTTTGAGTAAGGAAACTGGAACTGGTAACCAAGTTCAGCTTGTTTTAGTTGCAACAATATGGACTAAGTAAGCCTTTTAAAACAGTATTAAGTTGTCTGAAAGACATATAAATCTATGTAAGTATAATAGTACTGTCTGTTGTGTGTTGTATGTCCATGTAACTACTTCGCAGGGTGTGGATAGGTCTTCACCAAAATTGGTATGGAGGTTCATTGAGTCCATGGGGAGATACATACACAATTTCAATTTTGCATTTTGCGGTTTTTATAGGTGTTTTTTTGCCACTACTTCGCCCCCTGTAAATGGATCTTCACGAAATTTGGTATGGAGGTCCATTGAGACTATGGTGAGATACATACTTTTTTTGCATTTTGCATATAGCGATTCTTATGGACGTTTTTACGTTTTTACAATTACATATATGGGAAGCAACTTTTCATGTCCTAAGATAACCTTTCAATAATCATAAATTAACATAACTTCCGTCCAAGGATGGATACTCCAGCTAGTAAGTAATACTTCTAATGAAACGCATTAGTTTCGCAATGCAAGTATTTAATTAAAACATAAGTTAATTAAAAAAAACAAGTATAATGATAATAAGATATAGGTCAATTCAACCTCTCACTACCATGACCTAACATTATATTTAACAAAGTTAACCTTAAGTATAATGTACAGTGGGAAAGAAAAAATCGACGGATCCCTTAACTGGTTATCTTTGGCTTTGAAATATTCTAACATTGAACAAACAATTTATATTATTCGATTAAGACTCAGCTTATTACAAGAGACATTAACAAGTAAAAACCAACACAAATTCAGATAGTGTTAAAATTGATTACAAACATTATCATCAATATCCTGTATGCAGGCTTTAAAACATCTATACTAAGGTTGTTAGTTTCTTACCTTGGTTTGGATACTGTCTATAGCTTGAGTAGCTGAGGTGCTCGTATAATAGCGTTGTATTTCCTGCAACATTGCTTCTGTAGTAAAAATCCTGACCTGAAAAATTCATAAGTATATTTTCTTTCGACATCCGAGATCTTAAGCTGTTTGTTGTCGTAAATATTACTGATAAATTGAATTTTCAAATATAGGCTAAAAAAATACATAAAGTTATCAAGAAGCTCATTTCCAAAGCATATATCTTTATTCAGGTATTTTCAAGATCTTTGCTTAAATTTTATACAGATGTTTTACGTGTAATTACGGCGCCTTTGTAAGCCAGGTATGGAAACGTCGTATATTTGAACTATTCCCCTACTTTAACCAAAGCTTAAATATCATGACTAATATTACATACTTATACTTGCTTGGTCCTGCTTCTGTGCCATGCGTCCTGGAATAGTGTCATTCTCATATTAATTGTAGAAGCTATAATGAGTGTATATTTTATGAACCTCCCGGAATATGTGTAATATTATTAAAGTTACACTACTTCTAAGAGCCTTGTGGCTGAGCTCATCCCGTTTAACTTATTAATTTATAATGTCTCTTTTATGCTTAAGCTCTTCTTATCACGTGTTGTAACGAGAATCTTTGGATATACTATTGTGTATAACTACGTCAAACTTCCCATACTCATTATCATATATACTGGATTATCACTTTGCAGGTTCTTGTATGAGTGTCTTTAGTCACTGGTGATCAAACCTATAAATCTAGAATAAAATTTATGACCCTTAGATTCATATATATTACATTAGAAATTTTTCAGTATGAATATTTAGAATTATATGTAAAAAAATCTTATAATCTTATATTAAAAAAATCTGTATTGTTTTGTTTAAAAAGCATTCTTAAATCAATTTGTGAGTATTTTTTGCTAAAATATCTGTGTAATTGGTTTTCACATCCAATATGTGTCTACCCGTATATGTTAGTAATATATTTATTGTTTTTTCGGGAACATTAAATTTTATTTATTTGTCTTTGATGACTTTATCTAAATACTTACAAACAATACTATCTATCATACTTTTTGGAAAACCTTCTTAATTCAACAACATTTTGATCTTGTTCAGTTTTTATGAAAATATCAATACGTTCTAGTTATTTTATACGCATGATGAATTAACATTTTAACCAAATTTATTTTAAAAAATCTGGAATTCAACCATTAAAATTAATGCATAAAGTTTTAAATGTTTTATTATGGTATATTTCACATTAAAAACTCCCATGATTATAATGTATCAATGTATTGAAAAAAGCCAAGTTTCTGGTGTTCTACTCTAAATGGTATATTTTTGTGTTGATTCTTAAAAACTAAATTACATGTTAAGATTTACTAAACTAAATTAACATATTTGCGTTAATTCAAAGTTTTAAAACTCATTGGAGAACTTTCAAACCACCACTTTTCATAGTGACACAAAAACACATTCGTAAATGATGGTGTTACTCTTGATTTCAATGGAATTCTATCAATTTCATCACTCTATGTAAATTCGGCTTTTCGCTTTATATGTGTACTCAGCTAACTCTTCCCATAGTTCATTATTTAGCAGGACTAATCTTGGCAATCCGACTCGAGTTGGTCTGGAGGTGTCTTTAACTATGTGATGTAGCCCTATTATCAACTGTAGTAAAATGCCATCAGAATGGGAGATCACCCACGCATGGTGGGAGTCTAAGAGTAGTTTCTCGGGGTCGTTAAACCCGAATCTGACTTCGGATTTTGAGTTCGTGGCTATTCCGGGACTTCATGTTTGAAATTTTATTCATACACCCACTCTCAAGACAGTTAGACAAATCTTGGTACATATGCTCAGGTACCGATGGTGAGTGTTATAACGATGTTTTTGGTCGGGTCCGGACCCCTTCTCCCACCCTTGCAGCTACAGAAGTAATTGAGGATAATGGAGGAGCTTGATCGGTATATTGGAGCCTCTGTAATTCATGAGGAGAAACTTTAAACCCTGCGGCGGAGCGCAAGTATTTTATGTTAGTATATATCATAATCGCTACTTCTTGGCGAGAAACCCCCAAGCCACAATACCAATACTCCACCGATTAACGCCTTCCACGAGCTAGATACCACCACCTGCTTACCCATACCTATAAATATCC